TCTCAAGGGAAGATGAGCTCAGCTATATCAAAAAATCTTCTAGCACTTGAGACTTGATGATATTCCTGGTCGTGAATGTGATGTCATACTTCAACAATTCTACGGTCCATGATACCATCATGTCTTCCAGCTCCGAATTCTTCAAGACCTGTTTTATGGGATAGTTCGTCTTGACAATAATATGGTGTCCTTGGAAATAATGCCTCAATTTCTTGGCAGTGATCACCACTCTCAGAGCTAATTTTCCGATCCTATGATAGTGGGTCTCAGCCTCTTTTAGAACTTTGCTAACAAAATAGACCAGTTTTTCACCTTCGTCACCCTCTTGCACCAACACAGAACTAATAGCTTTGTCAAAGACCGCCAAGTACAAGAAGAGGGGTGAATTTTCTCTTGTTCGAACCAAGATCGGCGGGATGGATAACGAAAGCTTCAACTCCATAAACGCTTTCTCACATTCTTCTGTCCACTAAAACTTTGTCAACTTCTTGATAGCCACGAATAAATGTATAGCTTTACCGCCCATGCAAGACAGGAATCAGGATAGGGAGGCCAACCTCCAAGTCATCTGTTGAACTTATTTTACTGATGTTGGACCCCTCATTTCGATGACCGCTTAGCATTTGTACGAGTTAGCCTCTATCCCCCGATGTTTCACATGAATCCAAAAACTTTGCCGGCCTGTACTCCGAAGGTGCATTTGTCTGGGTTAAGACTCATATCACACTTTCTTACTAATTTAAATGTTTCTTCTAGAAATTTCACATGATCCATCTTCTTTAGAGTTTTATTCATCATGTAATCCATATATACCTTTAGGTTCCTTCCTATTTGTGATGAGAATACCATGTCCATTAGCCTTTGATACATAGCCCCGACGTTTTTAAGGCCGAACGACATCACCTCATAGTAATAGTTTCTCTTGTCGATCATGAACTCCGTTTTGAGGACGTCTAATGGGTCCATTCTTATTTGATTGTAGCCCGAGTAGGCATCCATAAAGCTGGGTAATCGGAAACTGAATGACTCGTCGATGAGTCGGTTGATGTGTGGCAGCGGATAAGGATCCTTCAGACATGCTTTGTTGAGGTCGGTGAAGTCTACACACATATGTTATTTCCCGGTTTTATTTTTTACCATGACAATATTAGATAGCCAAATGGGGTACTTTATTCCCCAGATAAACCCTGCTTTCAAAAGCTTTTTGAACTCTTCTGAAATAGATTGTCTTTTTTCCTCCTTATTTTTTCGCTTCTTCTGAGACACAACTTTCAGTGTTGGATTAATGGAAACCTGATGGCATGATGCCATGATCGATCTTCGGCATGTCAGAAGGTTTCCAAGCGAAGAGGTCCACATTGTCTCTTAATACTTTTATGATTTCTTCCTCTTCCTTTTGAGATAACCCGAAACATATCTGCATGATCTGAAACTCCTCAGCCCTGATCTGTACCTTTTTTAATTCTCCGATGGGTGTTAGATTTTTGTTTGTCGGGTCCTCTTGGGGATCGAGATCGACCAGGTTCAACTTTAGAGGATCTTTCATTATCGGCCGATCATGTTGTGATTTCTTATTTAACTTTAAGATGTCTTTGTAACACTTCTGCATTAGCCCCTGGTCACCCCTGATTACCCCTACTCGCTCACCGACTAGTGGATACTTCATGGTAAGATAGAGAGTGGATAGAGCGGCTTCAAGAGCATTGAATGTCATCCTGCTGATAATAATGTTGTATGATGATGCTGCATTTACTATTAAGTATCTCACTTTAATGCTCTTGGCATTATCTCCACTTCCAAAGACAGACATGATGGGCAAGTGTCCCAATACCTAGACTTGCTCTCCGGAGAAACCGACTAGGGTACTCTTAAAAGGTAACATCTCAGACGTATATATTCTCATGCACTTTAAAGCATCCCAGTACAAGATATCGGCGAAACAGCTAGGGTCGATTAGCACATGTTTGACACTCTAATCATGTATTTGTACCTTTATGACCATCAAGTCATTTTCATGAGCTAACACTTCTTTTGAGTCTCGTCTAGAGAAATTGACAGTGACAAATTTCTCTTTCTCCTTTGGTAATGATACCTGCGAGACATGCATTATCTCTCTAGCATACCTCTTTCTTGTCGAGCTCGTTTTGCCCCCCCCCCCCAGCAAACTCTCCTGAGATAGTGTTGAGGGTGTGGCATGCTGCCCGAGTTTTGTTCACCTTTTTGGTGCCTTTTCCCTTCTTGGAGGAGAGGTTCTCCGAGCTTGATGCTCTCAGAGAAGGGCTTCTTTTTCCTACTAACCCTCCGACATCTTTCACGCACGACAATAACTTACCCTTTTGGATAATTATCTCTATTTATTTTCTCAATTGGTGACAACCCTCCGTATGTTTCCCCTTCACGCGATGATATGCGCACCATGAGCTTTCATCTTTTCCCATTACCGCACATACCATCCTAGGTCGGGGAGGTTTTGGTAATAGCCTGAGGTGGGACACTTCACACAGTATATGCACGCTTTGAATTGAGTGGAGTATAGACCTCAAGGGTGTTGTCGTATGACCTTTAAGAAGGTTTTATTGTTAGTTTATCTCTGGCCATGTACTTCTGATGATCCTTCCTTGTTCCGGGTTCTTCCAGTCTAATTTGAGACCTTTCCTTAGCATCTCGGGATCTTTTTTCTATGTTACTTTCTCCGTCCTTAATATAACATTCATCCATATTCATCATTTTGTCCATGTTGGTGGTTGGCTTCTACGCCATAGGCTGATTAAAGTGGTCGGCCTTCAAGCCGTTCTGGAAGGCTCCTACAAACATTTCTTGATTCAAGTGTGAAAATTTTATGGTTTCTTCATTGAACTGCGCCATGTATTCGCGGAGGTAGTCGGAGGGGCCCTGATGTACTTTTAACAAGCTGGTGGTAGACATTTTCTTGTGTTTACTGGCCGCAAAATATTGCACCATCTTTCTAGTTAAACCTTAGTAACTAGTAATCGAGAATTTTGGCAAGCTCATGTACCAACGCAGGGCCACATCCTCGAACGTTCATGTCATGAGTTTCCTTTTTAAGGAGTCGAAAGCGCCAACGATCGCAATTTGGTTGTTAATTGCGATAATGTGCTCCTGAGGATCCCTCTTGCCATCGAAAGGCGCCAAGGGTGATGGTTTGAAGTTCTCTGGGACTAGGTCGTCCCATATTGCTTCTTCAAATGGTTAGTGGTCCAACAAACCTTCTTCTGTATCTCTGTCCGGCTGACTCTGAGCTTGAAGCATTTGGAAATTGTCCTGTAGAGACTCATTTTGCTGTTATAGAGCCTCCACAATTGCTAGTAAGTGCGCCATGTCTGACGGAGGAGGAGGGTCGCTCTTATTGGGAGATGACCTATACATTCTGAAAATGGGAGTTTTAGGATTCATGTGCGGAGTGGGAAAGTTTTACCTAGACTCCACGGTGGACGCCAAATGTTCCTGACAAACACCTTTGTATAGCCTCCCTGAAGATAATCAGGCGAGACTACAATTGTACTGTATGTTAGAGGTTATTAGCTTACTTGTGTTTTTGTATGTCCTTTCCTCCATGGGAGGATCCCTTTTTATTCTTGGCTTCTGTCTCTGCAATCATTGAGCGATGACCTTCCAAGTACAACAATCAAGAAGAGGTTCTAACGTCCGTTGTCACAATCATGAGGGTGTGACGCTTCCCTCATCAATTTTCATAACTCTCATGCAGCCTTTGAACTATTGTAACAGTCACATCAGCTTGACACTTCGACCATCCAACTAGGCATGTTACTCGTCATGCTCGATTTCATACATCGACCCTGATTCCCTCACATCTACCGACCACCAACTCGTTGATCAATTTGTTTAGCGTTCCTTCCATATCTGATTTACAACTCGTCTCTAAGAATTTCAAAGTGTACAGACGCTATGGGCATTTGAGACTTTTCACAATGGTGGAGAAGAACACATAAGGGGTGAAAAGAACAACCCCTTAAATAAATGTCAATTGGGTTTGGCCCAAATAAAACAATACTCATTAAAAAAAACTCTTTTTTTTCTTCTTTTATTTTTTTTCTCTAAATAAACGGTGGGTCTCACTTTAGGAGTAAGTCTACCCTATCTCTCATAACAAAGATTTATATTAATTTACATTGTTCTTCTCATTTTTTATTATTTCTATAATTTTTTCTAGCATGGAATAATATGAGGATTCTCAAAATTAATTTCCGTATTATATGAGAATTCCCAAAGTTAATTTTTATAAAAAAAAATTCGAAGATTAACCTCAGAATTATATTCACATATTTTTCTTATTGTGTTTGAGATTTAACTATAATTGCATTTTGAGTATGTCGGAAGATTAAATTCCAAATTTTAAGAACATTATTGGGTGTACAAATGCAGAGAATAATCCCCAAAATAATAGATGTCCGGCCACAGACTTTAGAATTGATAGCATAGCGGACCTAACGAACATACTAGTAGATCGTGAAAGTATCTATCTTAAACCGTGTCTACTAGAAATCAAAATTTATAAATCCTGTATATACTTTTTAACAATAATTATTTTGTGAAATTTGATTTTTTTTTTTTTTTTTGTTGTCAAAATCTTGGCGCATTCACATATTAATCAATATGGTGTCATTGCATATTTTATTTATTCAATATTTTTCCAACTCTGATTCTATTTTAGGTAATGTTAGTCCAAATATAGGTTCTCGACGGTTGCAATGATGAACGAATAACCATGGCATATTATCATTCACTACGTTGCATTCTATGACCATGGAATTATCCAAGTACCATGGAATATTCTAAATCTAACAAGACAATAATAGTAACAAAATAATAGAATGATACTCTTATATACCCTATATTATAATATAGAAAAAACCGTTGAAACCAATGCATGATGAACACATAACATGATTAGGTCCTAATTCATTCAGTTTAAATACACTTGACTCCTCTCCATTTGAACACTCCCTTTGATCACTACCATGAAGTTCTGGAAGATCTTGAAGAGGCAGATTGAGCAGACACTCCCCGAATGGCGCGACAAGTTCTTGTCCTACAAAAACTTGAAGAAACAGTTGAAGATTATGTGTCCTAAACATGCTTGCACCCCTCCGAGATTGGACGCTTACCAGGTCCACCACTTCCTTTATCTATTAGAAGTTGAGATTGATAAGTTCAACACTTTCTTTGTTAACAAGGAAGAAGAATACATCATCAAATGGAAGGTAACATAAAGATACTAACATAGGTAGACTTATTATTAAATCCGTCTATTGGACCGGCCCTGATATCTGTTTTATGTTTTGCAGTTGTTGCAAGACAGAGTTGATAGAGCCATGGATTACTCAGATGCGGAGTTGATGTCATTAGGAAGAGAAATAGTAGATTTTCATGGAGAGATGGTTCTGTTAGAGAATTATAGTGCACTTAATTACACAGGCATGTTCTAAATTCTAATCTGTTAGAGAATAATGTAAACTTGTGTGTTTTTTTAATTCATTTGAAAGAGAAATTTATTAGATTCTATATGATAAAATGATTATGCAGGTCTAGTGAAGATAATAAAGAAACACGATAAACGAACAGGCGCTCTACTTCGCTTGCCTTTTATTCAAGATGTGTTAAACCAGCCCTTTTTTGAAACTGATGTGCTTAATAGCCTTGTGAAGGAGTGTGAGGTGATACTAAACATATTTTTCGCCAACAATGACGAGCCTTCTTGTCAGTGTCCATCAACTAGTGAAGAAACTGAGGAAGATGGACGTGGCTCGAATGTGATTGAGGATGAAAGTAAAGAGAAGCTTATGCAGGCTCCTAACGAACTTGCTGAAATTGAAAATATGGAGAATGTGTTCATCAATCTAACTTTGTCAGCGTTGCGTACCTTGGAAGAAATTCGGGGTAGAAGCTCAATGGTACGCGCGCACATTACTGACATAAACATGTAAAACTGTTTGTGCTAGTTTATGATATGTATGCATAATTTTTTGCAGCTTATGTATGCGGAGTTTTTACAGAAGCAAGAAATGGAAACTAAAAGATCAGGTAAAGCTCGTGGAAACAAAAGGAAAAGGTAGCAGATGCTCCATGTTCTGTCATTCTATAATGTGACTCGTATTTGATATATGAATTGAAATAAAAAGCAATACACACAATTTAAAGAGTGAAAAGTATTTGAAGCAAGAACTTATATGCATATTATATGTACTGAACTGTGTTGTAAATTGTTGAATATCTGTAGTTACTGATCATAAGTGCTCAAGAAGCCACCAATGAAACCAGCACCATTGCAGCTCCCACATAAAATTTCTTTTCTGCCTCTGAAATTTAAACAAAAAATAGATTATTATTATTATTATAAGACACATTGTGCATGCGATTTAATTTAGCCTCTGTTTGTTTCTGCGTTTGAAGGTAAATTACGTAGAATGATATTTGGTTAATTAGGTAGCGTACCCACAAAGCCAACAAGAGGCACCAGCTTTAAAGAGTCCATTGAAAAAATCAACAGAGTTCACTCCATTACCTTTGCATTGAGAGCATACAACAGCTCCTGTTAATTAATTGCATACACAAATATTAACAAGCATGTTTGTTCAACAATTAAAATTAAAATTTTTAAAATTGATTAATTTGTTAAGTGCATCTTAATAGTACCATTTCCATCACAATCAGCACAAATCACACTGTTAGGTTTTGTACTTTGTTGGTTACCACCAACACCATTGTCATTTGTAGCCTACATAAATAAGAGCTTGTTAGTATAGCAAAATATTATACATTATTCAAGTTAAAAAGTATATGAACATAACATATGATTGTACCTTAGAAGTTATAAGGCAAAATTTATTGGTGGAAGGGAGTTGGAAGACATAATTGACAGTAGAATGTTTTGGATTTGTATGAGTTTGTTGTATGGTGAGAGGTAAAGATTTAGAAGTTTGAAGAGAAAAAAGGTTAGTAGGAAGAGATGAAGGGGTTAGATATAGAGAAGAGACCATTGAAAGGATATTTTGTTAAAGTTAGGTAGGTGATGATGATGAACAACAACGTTGAGGGAAAGAGAATGAGATATTATTATAGATCAGATTTTTTTTTTCTTCCTAGATAAGAATCAAGTTTGTTTTGTCGTCTCTTTTTATCCACATGACTAGGTATCATTGCAAATTTATAAATGAAAAAGACGACTTGTATTAGAATCCGTAATTTGTTAAATCAATTGTTTTGAAATTTTTATTAAAATAGTTTTTGGGCATGTAAAGGATTAAAAAGGATTTTTTTTTTGTTGAGAATAAAGTACTTTTTATTTCGAAAACTGCTGATTACAGTCCATATTGGATCCGGGATACAAAACATCTAACTCATACTAGAGTTTTCAAATGTCATCTATGTGGCTATTATATACATAGTGTTCTAATATTTACATGATGTTTGAGCTTCCTAATTATAGTACTCGTCATGACTATATTTGTTGACTCTTGAATTCGACACCTACTATATATTGGTTCCATGGATCAAAATAGAGCAGATAAAATCAAGCTGGAAAATGTTTCGACGGATGGAAAAAACTTAGAGAAAATATCTGAGTTACAAATTGGTATTCGACCAGACATCACCATCAGGCCTTCGACGGGAAAGGTCCTGTGGCCTTCGACTAGAAGATCAAACCTTCGTTTCAGCACCAAAGGCGAAGGATATTTGAATTTGAAGTTTGGAGGGAAATGCAGTTCGTCAACAGTTAAAAGAAAGCAACGTGGCAGGAAGATAGAGGTCGAGGGACATGCAGAAGACACTTGTCTTCATCCTAGAAACAAAACCACCCTCGACAGTTACATAATTTTAGTATAAAACTAGGAAGTTTGTGTAGAGTTTCCGTGTGTTCAACCTATTGTGCTAGTTACTCAATATTATTCAAGTATCCGCTGTGTGTGAAAGAATAACTGAGAATGTACGTTGGAAACACCATTTTTTATTAATAAAGTCTTTTTACATTGCTTTGAACTTCTTTTGCAAAGTTTACATTTCTACATCTTTACTTGCACTTCTAGTTACTTTCTTACTTTCCAAAACCATAAACACCATATCCTTGGTCGAACGTGCGTTCTTCCTAGATACCAACTTTTACATCAAACCAACATGAAAATTAGCACATGTTCTGGGATCAATCTGATCGATCCCACGAGTAACCAAAAGGACTTTCCTTTTTGGAGGATCAGCGGTTGTTTATCAAAAACCACGGTAAATAAATTGACACACCTGATGGGACGTTGCTAGTTTTTATCCTCTATTTGTTCATGTTATTGCTTTCCTTTTATAAGTATATAGCGTTGCATGTTATTAAGAAGTGGTAGATTAACCAATGAGTGTACTGTTAGGAAGAGAAATAACAAAAGTAGGATGGCTAATGAGCCAAATCATGGAGAAATACCTCCATCAAATACTACTGGAACAACGGTTATGACTACCGTTGGAGAAAATATCTCAACTTTTGTTGGTTCGGTACCAACGTTAACCACAAATGAAACAGGACCCTTACTTTCGTATGTGGGTCCTAGAGGTCCTTTAGGAACGCCCCCACCAAGGGCAAATCCAAGATCTCGACCGTATATTCCCCCAGGATTTTCGACAGCCTGGATGGGTCGAGAACAGCCATATGGCATGCCAACCACTGAAATGGCTAGCCTTATCAACGCTGCGTCTACTTTTTCAGAACCTTTGGTGAATGCATCATCACCATTATAGGGATCTGGAGCCAGTATGGCAAATTTGGGTAGAAACCAGATTGTAGGAGGACCATCACATGCAATACCAAGCCTCACAAATGCTTCTACAACAATTTTGAGGCAACAGATGGACGAAAGCAACCATGATATGGTGCAAATGTTGGCACAGACCCTAAGTACAGTGTTGAACCCCCTAATACAAAATACTACCCAGTCGAATCAACAAATGGCAACACAAATGACGCGCATGGCTGAATTCTTTGGGGTACCCCAAACTATTCGACAATCCCAAAGAATACCAATAAGAGTAAACCAAAGGGAGGAAGATTTAACCGTTAATCAAAATCCACAGATCCCTAGAGTAGGAATAGAACAACCTAGGGTCGAAATACCTCGAAATCCACCACCAATCCCCAGAGAAATTGATCAAGGGGTGATTATGGTGAATAGGAACCAAAATGCTGATGAATTGATACATCAAGTTCGACACCAAAATTATGGAACGGATAATAATTTGACTGCCATGATCGAAAGGATTATGATACAGAATGGGATGAACGTTGGTTTTCATAGACCAAACTTCACATCCCCATTGTCAGAATATATCCTACAAACAGAATTATCCCTAGGGGAAAAGTCCCCAAGTTTACAAAATTTTCAGGGGATACGACAGAATCTACTGTCGAACATGTGGCGAGATATTTGATAGAAGTCGGGGAAATAGCGAACAACGAAAACCTTAGGATTAAATACTTCCTAAGTTCTCTAACAAAAACGCTTTTACTTGGTTTACTACCCTCCCAACCAATTCGATCCATAATTGGAATCAATTGGAAAGGTTGTTCCATGAACAATTTTACATGGGACAGACCAAAATAAGCCTAAAAGAACTGGCTAGTGTGAAGAGGAGATTCACTGAGCCAATAGATGAGTATCTAAATAGGTTTTGACTGCTTAAAGCCAGATGCTTTACCCAAGTGCCTGAACATGAATTGGTCGAAATGGCAGCAGGGGGCCTGGATTATTCCATTAGGAAAAAGTTAAATACCCAATACTTGAGAGATATGGCCTAGTTGGCCGATAGAGTTCGACAAGTAGAACGCCTTAAAGCCGAAAAGGCTAAGGCGACCAAAACTCATCGAAGAGAAAGAGTAGCCTATGTCGAAATGGATGATGACGATCCAGAGACATCTAGTGATCCTATATATGTCGAAGAAGGCGAGATAGATTTAGCGGAATTAAAACAAGGGTCGTCATACTCTTGTAAATTGCTAGTGCCCTCAAATGGAAAAAATCATGTAGAGTCTGAAAGGAACAGTGATAAATTCCCTAAGAAAACATATAGTTTTGACATCACTAAATGTGATGAAATATTTGATTTATTAGTCAAAGATGGCCAAATGATAGTGCCCTCAGGGGCAAAAATGCCTCCTTTAGAACAAAGGAAGAAAAGAGGTTTTTGTAAATATCACAATTTTCCGGGCCATAGAACCTCACAATATTTTCTTTTCAGGGATCTTGTTCAAGGAGCACTCAAAGAAGGAAGGCTTAAGTTCGCTGATAAGCCAACAATGAAAATTGATGCGAACCCACTACAAGGGGATGCACATTATGCTGAACCAGTGGGCATCCATATGGTTGAAGTTTCTGAGGACTTCGTTAACAAGCCCGTATTTGGCAGTTTTACTGGAAACATGTCTAGGAAAACTATCGAAGGGGTGAGGAAGGCCACTGAAGGCCTGAAAATGAACAAGGGAGCTGCTGAAGGCTCAAGCAAAAGGGTTACTGAAGGCCCAAACACAAACAAAGGAGTTGTTGAAAGCTCCAACAAGAGAACCACTACAGGTTCTTACTTGGCTTTCGTTAAAGGTTCGACAGATAACTTGGAGGCCAAGATGCATAAAATGAATCTCGTTGCCAAGAGAAACATGGAGGTAAACATGCTCGAAGTATCTGAAGCCAAGGCTTCAGAAGAGGCCACTCGACAGGAGGAAGTGAACAAAACAACATTTCCTAAAGAAAATGAGGATCTGGAAGAATTTTTACATCGATGCCAGAAGAAAAAGTTTGAAGTGATGTTGTGTCTCAGATGCAGTTCTATCTTTGACAAGAAAGCTGCGGAACACATACAAGGTATGAGAGCAGTGAAGGCAAAATGGGGCACCAATTCTCAACCAAAAATGGATCCAGAAGAAAGATACGATCCCATGAGGGGACATAAAAAAGGACCCATGAACCAGGTAAGGAGGCCACCAACTTATCGGCCTCCAACTAATGTACTTGTAGGTATTTGGCTTAACACTATGGGCAGAAAAAGGCCCAATGAAGGAAAGTGGCGAACGTTCGATGTGCCA